CAGAAACAAAGGACCCTAGGACCATCAAGGGAGAAGAGCACAAGCAGAATGCAGGACCTTATCCAGAGAAGCAACGACACCAGAGATGGAGGCAAAGATGGGGACATGGAGAGAGGGAGGAGCTGAGGGCTCTAGATTCATGGGAAGAGAGGGACTGAGAGCTGGTGGCCAGGAGGCAGACTTGCAGAATGTGCCCTCTGGTGGTGTAAATGATTATATATGCCTGAATGTTTAAGAAAAAAATAGAGTTAAAGTTAATAGAGAGAAATACTGTTAACTGATGGTACACGGAGGGGATTGTAATCATTGTGATGAAACTAGTTGTATGATTTGTTGAATGTAAAATTGATGATCTGCCCTGTAAACTTTCACTCAATCCACAATAAGAACTTAAAGAAAAAAAAATAAATAAAGTTATCCACTTGTGGCATATGTTGTCACAGCAGATTAGATACTAAGAGAGCCGTGGTGAGCAATGCTGCAATGCCCATCCTGTAAACATATCTTTGTGCACTTTGTGACTATTTCTGAGTAGGATTCCAAAAAGTTGAATGACTGACAAAAGGAATGCACATTTAAAATTATGATAACCCATTCCTTTTGGTCAATCTGACTTATAGAAACCCTACAGGATAGAGTACAACTGCCCAAGCGGGTTCCCAGCACCATAACTCTTACCCAAGCCAACTACCACATCTTTCTCCCGTGGAGCAGCTGGTGGGTTTGAACGGCCAACATTTCAGTTCGTATCCAAGCACTTAACCACTGCACCAGCAGGGCTCCTAACAATTGTGATAAAGATTCCAAATTGTTCAAAGTGCTAAATAGCGTATGTGACTCCTTTTTCCCACACCTTTGTATTAATATTTAGAATGCCAATCTGGTAAATATCAATGGCACTTTATTACTTTAACTTGCAGCCTTTAAACATACTCATATCTTTGTACATTTAATGGATACTTGCAACTTCTGTGAACTGCCCATTTATGTCCTCAGTTTTCTTTTTCTATTGATTCATATGGACCTAATATTTAAATGTATAAATACTTGAAGAAACTTACTTTAAATTTTCAGCAACTGTTTTGGCTTTATTATAATGTCCTCCAACTGGATTCGCAGCGGCAACAATGGAAGTTCTTGCAGGGAGGCTACAAACCACTCCAGCCTTAGCAAGACTAATACTTTGCTGTTCCATGGCTTCTAGCAAGGCTTGATGCTGATTTCCCATCTTATCAAATTCATCTATTCCACAAATACCTACAGTAAAGTAATAAAATATATACATACATATATATATATATATAGATAGATAGATAGATAGATAGATAGATATGTATGTATCTATATCTATATATCTATATATCTATATCTTCCTTTGGTCAGTTTCCAAGTTTCATAGAATGAAAATTTTTCCATAAAAAATAATTATTTCCATTTTCCTCCAGTAGTTAAAGTTATAAAATGCTAAACCAAAATCCACTGCTGTTGAGCCAATTCCAACTCAGAGTGACCCTATGGGTGGGACACAACAGTACTGCCCCACAGGGTTTCCAAAGCTAGAAATTCTTACTGAAGCAAACTGCCACATTTTTTCCCCACAAAACAGCTGGTGGGTTTGAACAACCAACCTGGATTACTGCTTGCTATAAAATACTTGTCTTATTTAGCAAATTTTAACACAATTATTCATATAGCATTCCACAGGCAAGGCATCATGTTGTGAATTCATTACTATCAAGTTGATTCAAACTTACTACGACCCTATAGGACAGAGTAGAACATCCCCCTAGAGTTTCCATGATAAAGAGAAAAAAGATCGAAGCTGTCAAAGACTTCATTTTGCTTGGATCCACAATCAACACTCTTGGAAATATCAGTCAAGAAGTTACACAGTGTATTGCATTAGGCAAATCTGCTTCAAAAGACCTCTTCCAAGCATTCAATAGCAAAGATTTTAGTTTGAGGACTACAGTGTTCCTGATTCAAGTCTTGGTATTTTCCATCACCTGATATGCATGTGATAGTTGGATAATGAATAAGGAACACTGTAGAAGAACCGATGCATCTTAATTATGGTGTTGGAGAAGAATATTAAAAGTACCATAGACAGCCAGAAGAACAAACAAATCTGTCTTGGAAGAAGTACATCCAGAATGTTCTTTAAAAAACCATGATGGCCAGACTCTGTCTCTCATACTTTTGACATGTTATTAGAAGGAACCAGTCCTTAAAGGGGGTGTTACTGAAATGGAGGCACACCTCCAACAAGATGTATTGATACAATAGTTCAAACATAACAATAATTGTAAGGATGGCCAAAACTGATTCACACGGAAATGATGAAATTAAGTAAAACAGTAAAATACACAGCACATACTAGAGATATACAATTTGGAATTTTGACAATATAGGTAGGTAAAACCATGTTGTTAAGTGTTGAGTCAGTTTTAATTCAGTGATCCTGAATAGGGTTTCCAAGGAGTGGCTGGCAGACTTGAACCACCAACCATGTGGTTAGTTAGTAGTCAAGATCACCAAAAAGGTAAATAGAGACCTAAAAGATACAAGGTCCAAGAACTATGCACCCTGAGGTGCCAAACAATTAAGGGATTAGGCAGATGAAGAGCCAGTCAAGACTGAGAATAAATTTACCTAGTAAGTAAAGTAAGAAGAAAAGCAGACGGCTGTGGTGTCCTGGAAACCAAGGAGAGGTGTTTCAAAAAGAGGAGAGAGCAATTGTTTAATGTAGCTGAAAGGGATTCAGAAATGTGGAGGTCACTGGCAATAGGGAAGGAGGAATGACCTTAATTTGACTAGAATTTGGGCACTGCCTAAAGCAACATAAGGACTTTTTCCAACAGGGTTATAGTAACCCAGAGAGAAACCTAGGGAGCAAGGCTCAATGCATCTTGCTGAGCTCTCTGATTGGATTCTTATATATTATCAATCAAACCCTAAACAAACCTGGTGAAATGGGTTAAAATACAGCAGAAATATTATTTCTAAACTACTAAAATCTTACTCAAGTTACAGCTTGGAACTCTCACTGAAAGCCCTTTGAGCACTAAGAACTATCCTGAGCAAAGTAACTGCAATACATTCAAAAAAGGACTTACTGTACACCTCTGTGCTAGGCAATGGGAACATAGCAGTCAACTAATCAGAGAACCAAATCCCACCCCACAGGAGCTTAACATAAAGCATTTAAACAAACGATCATAAATGTGACGGGTAATGTGACATGGGGAAGTATAGGGACATACACCTCTTTTACCGAATTAATTTTTATGCACAATTTCATCTGCTGTAAGATTCTGAAAATGTTACTAAGTACCAGTTTCTATTCTGCAATATAACCAAAAACAATCAGAGTTCTCTCCAGTTATTAATGGTGACACTCATCACCAATTCACTAGCTAGGAGTTAGGACAATACTCTCCAAATGCTCTTGAATTGAGTGTAAAGAAAAGAACTGAAAAGGAAAAGGGCTTTACGCAACAACAACAACAAAGCCTCACAATCACAAACTATTATTCCCTTTGGTCTCTCACCTTGATCACCAAGTACCAGGGCACCAGCTTCCAAAGTAAAATCTCCAGAGGAACTATCTTTTGAAAGAGTGACTGTCAGACCTGAGGTGGTGGTAGTATTACCACAAACGAAGACACCACGTGGAGCAATGTTGCACACTGCCTTAAAAAAAAAAAAAAAAAAAGTTTAAGAACATCATCCAAAGTAAAAACGAAACTCCAGCTAACAGTAATTGTTCAACAAATGTTAACTACATGCCAGGTATTATTCTAAGAGATTTACTGTTTAATCGTGCACCACTGTAAGAGAAAGGCATTATCCCACCCCACTACTTAACCACTGTGGAAACTGAGGTCCATGGAGAAAAGTTCAAACAGAAAAACACTGAGACCATTTTAATTTCAAACACCAACGAATAAAATGGTTGAACAATATAATCAGAAACACTGCGAACAAGCCAGACAATCACACACATGCAATGCTACAAAAGACAGAAGAGAAAGCAAACAATTCAGATCTCCACATCCACATTTTCCTGCATATTCTGGCTAACTATCCTGCTTTCATTTTCATCATCAACTCTACTTTACCTTAGAACCAGCTACTCTGCCTCAGTGTTGTCAGACTGGTGAGCAAGAGCTAAGTTAGAACAAAAATTATTAAGAAGTTAAAAAGAACAGGCAGGCCCAATTGGCCAAAAATAACAGCACATGGATGAAATGTCAGATGAGCTCAAATGAAGACTGGCACAAAGGACAGCGGGTTTCAAATTCGTGAAATCAACGCAGATCTCACTCCTGGCTGCACATCACAATCACACACACTAGGGTCCTGACGGGAATCCTAATTCATTTGGCCTGGGGCAGACCACAGTATTTCCAAAGAGCTTCAAAGATGATTTTGATGTGCAGGTACAGATCATAACTTTAACAACCACCAAGACCACAATGGGACAGGGAGCCTCTGGTCTGAACAGTTCCATTTTCCAACAAGGGACAGTGGGTAAAATACACATTTTTTTGGAGTGGTACTAAGCAGTAAGGTTGGTTGGGAGTCCTGGGAGTGGCACTGTAGGATAAGCACTCGACCACAAGGTCAGTTTGAATGGCACAATTGACAGTTCAAATTCACTAGCCACTCCTCAGAGACCTTATATAGAGTCGCTATGAGTTGCGACAGACTCGACAGCACTTTACAACAACAAGAAGGTTGGTTTACCAGGAGATGTCGCTCTGAAGAACCCATACATATTCCAAAAAGCAGCACTATTTGGTACCATCATAAGCCCAGGAGAGGACAACCAAAAAATTCTGAATGTCAGAGGCAAAGGCAGAGAAGTTGCCTTGCATTGAACTTGGGGACAAGCAGCAGAGGTAGGTAAGGAGATATCTCTTTCAAACCGTCTACATAAAGTCCAATATGGTATTTGTGTAACTGTGGGAAGGGGAATGGGTAACTCTTTCATTTCCTTCAAGGTGAGATCATATTGCAGCAATAATAGCAAAGCAATGCTGCACACACACTCAAAATAAGGAGCTAGAGCACCAAAGAGAAGTGACCCAACAGAATGCAGAAATCATCAAACATTATCATTAATATCACACGCAAGTCAAACTTTCTAAGATAATTCAAAAACAGTTGCACCAGTATATTGACAGAAAACTGCCAGAGGCTTAAGGCAGATTCAGAAGAGGACATGGAACTAGGAATATCATGACTGACAACAGATGGATCTTGACTGAAAGCAGAGAATACCAGAAAGATGTTTACTTGTGCTTTACAGACTATCCAAAGGCTTTCGACTATGTAGATAATGACAAGCTATGGATAACATTGCAAAGAATTGGATATCCCAATTGGATACTCATGAGGAACCTGTACAGAGACCAAGAGATTCAAATAGAACATGGAGATACGGAATGCTTTAAAATCAGGGAAGTTGTGTGCCAGGGCTGTACTCTTTTACCATACTTATTCAATCTACATGTCTAATAAATAATCAGAGAAGCTGGATTATATGAAGAACAGGACATCAAGATTGGAGGGAGACTCATTAACAACCTGTAATATGCATGATGATACAATCTTGCTTGCTAGATGTGAAGCTGTCTTAAAATACTGATGAAAAGCAAAGTGTAT